TAATACAGCGGAGAGGAAACCCCGTGGCTGACATCCCCACCTCGTCTCCCATGTGTGGCTGATAGTCAAAGCGTGCCGGAGGACAGAAGATCTGGCTGTGCGCGTCCATGAATTTCAGCTTGTCTCCTCTAATGTCCATGGCATCCACCGCTCCCTCCAGAACATCCAGACCCTCATGGCGAGACGTTTCCAGGCTGTACTCGGCRGACAGGTAGGTCCTCATGGTGCGGGCCAGGCTTGCATGGTATCCTAAATCACAACACTGAGACAAAGAACGTGTTGCAATTTTCAGCAGTGAAAGAAAACAACGTAACGTGACAAAATGTTCAGCCCCGTGTCCATTATTACTACTTGTTGCCCCTCATTTAATTTAACTTACATCTATCATGTCCGAGACATCGTGGATGTAGTATTTGGCCACTAGAGCATTGGTAGCTGCCAGATTGAGAAGATAGTCGTTCCGGGCTTTTGTGCACTTCAGCTTGTTTTCACAGTACTTGGCTTGTCTCTGGGGAGGAAAAAGCCCCATCAATGCATATTGTAAAATGTCCTCCTAATGTACTCAAAGTAGCATTACTATATTACGCTGATTTTCATCTCATCTAATCCATTAAAGTGCACGGACCCCGGCATTTACAAGTCTTTCTGCAAACCGTTTGAGAATTTTTTTTTTATTTGTCTTTAATCAGGGTTCCCACACCTTGGTCACCATCAAATTCAAGGGCCTTTCAAGGACTTCCCAGTACCAATTTCCTCAAATTCAAGAACCACGCTTGACAGCAATTACCTGCTACCACAGAATGTTACCAGCAAACTTTTTTTTTCAATGAAAAACTGGGAATCAATGAAAGAAAGTGGATTAAATGTATACATAGGGTTGGGCATAATCGTATCGTGTGCAATTAATCTTCAGAAAAACATTAATCGATTATTTTTTGGCACTTGACGATTAGTATGATTAATGCAACCAGGCAGAGTCCGCTCGGTGCTCCTCTCTGCTTCAAATATGACAAACATTTAAAAAAGTTCTGTAATTTATTTATCCATCAACACAATTTAAAATTTGATGTATAGCCTGAAGTCTGTGATTTTGACACAATCTGGAAAAGATTTTTACAAATAGCAAATCTTTTCTAAATTGGTTATATGACTGGGACATAAGGGTGTCCAGGGACTCCAGGGGATTAATCGTCAAATTAATCGTTATTGGCTAAATACCACAATTTATCGTGATTAATTTTTTTTTTGCCAATATTGCCCAACCCTAATAGCCTACATTCATATCTACAAGCTCAGAAAGAACGACCCGCCCTACTCTGCTCTGATTGGGTAAAGCTACGACTATGGCTCACGTTATTTGTTGAAAGCCACGTCAGTTTCCCGTAATCCTGAGTTATCCACCGCAACAAATGTACCTTTTTTATTTTATTTATTTATTTTATTTTATTTTTTTACAGATAATGAAAATCACATGTGTGAATAGATAATTTTAATCCCCAAAAAACATTCAAGGACTTTCAAGGACAAGTGTATTTTTTTGGCTGTTTTCACAAACTTTCCAGGGCCTTGAAAGCTTTTCTTTAATTCATGAACTTTCAAGGATTTCAAGGACCCGTGGGAACCTGTTTAATGTACGTCACATACATCCTGACCATATGGAGGAAAGTCAGCAGAAACAGACCTTCTCCTTCATTTTTTCCATTTTCTTTACAGAGCTGCGGCGCTGTGGGCGTTCGTCGTGGCCGTAGCGCAGCAGGCCGACACCGATGTCGTTGCTCTTCCCGATGTGCTTCTCTTCCTGTTTCTCTGCCTCCTTCAGTTTGCTCTCAGCACTGAGGCTCTCGCTGTGGTACATGTGGTACGTCTTCATCACCTATAGAAACGTACAAGAAATTTGAAATGAACTAATGGTTTCCTAAAAGGAGATGTGATGCATGATAATAAAATAACAGGAAATGTTTCACACTTTAAAATACATGAAAATCGTTACAAAAGCTCAGTTTGCAGAAAAGCTGCTCATTAGTAGGAAATTTTCAAATTGTGAAATTAAATACTGAAACATAAGTTGTGGAAAAACTCCTCACTCTTTTGTCATTACAAAGCTGACTGCCCTCTGTTGGCTTTATTATGTCAGCCACAATAATCTACCTTGGATGTGGGCAGTGAAGGTCCATCTGAATCACCAAACATATTATTGGAACGTCAAGTGCAAACATTTGGCACTTGGAATAAAATAATCTGATTCACTGAAAGTCTGAGCAGCTCCTTGAAAAATAAATGACCATAAATATTTGAAATACCGAGTCCTAATTTGCAGCTCATTTAACTACTTTTTATTCCAGTCCTAAAACGGTCAACCATGACATCGTCAGAGCAAAGCAGGAGCAGTTTTAGAACCCCAGTTTTAACTTTGCAGTCATTTTTAATGCTGCTAAGAATAGAAACTCGTGCAACTGTTCATACAGTGACTAACAGTGCAATTAAACAACATCTGCTTCTCCATCACTGGGTCTCAAGTTCCGGTTTCCTAGCAACCCGGACCAAAATGGACGAGCAAAGGACGGCGAGATCGATCAGCAGGGGAGGTAACATAGTGACAGTGAGAAACCATCTGCCACACATCAAACAAGTAACAAGTCGATTTTTTACAAAAGCCAGACGCTCATTATTCCTCAGAACCAGCAGCCTAGAAATAGTCGACTTAATGTACAACAGATTAAATCATCATTGCACATCCACTTTCAGCTATATTACTTTCTTTACTCTAAAGTTGAACAGACACTTGCTATACCTTATGATGTGTGAGAGCTGCAGACAGGCATTTAATAATRCATGAATCAGAAAGGGGAGAAAGAAAAATCAATATCAGTACAGCAGTAATGTTACTTTCTGCTGGATTAAGTTACACATGAGAATCTTTCTCATGTGGCTTATACTATGACACTTTGTCCTCTCAGATACTGTATATATGTAAGATTGTTAGGTACAGTCATTCCTTAAAAAAAAAAACATCAATCAGCTTTTGCACACAGCCCACTGAAACTGGCACAGTGGATCTGTTCTACGTTTTAGGGGTGGGGGTGGGGGTATGTAAAATCAACTTTTTTGAGCTTTCTGTCATGTTATACTGTCATTCTCCCATCAAAAACATACCCAGAGTGTAGCTTTGACTCATTCATGAATGTTTGGGAAATCTTTGAATCTCCTGTGGTAGCCTATAGCCAGGTTAAAAACAGACCCATGTCCTTCACTTTGCTTCATACGAGGGTCTGGGCTCTCGGCTATGGAGAAGCAATTCTTTCTCGAGGCGTGGCCTCTGTTGAAGTTTAAAACGATTGGATCGGTTGGCCGCGACRTATGTGTATGCCAGCTCCACTGTGAAGGAGGCTAAGCTAAAAAGCTAACCGGAAATTGCGTGCGCTGTAAACAACCCTACTGAGAGGAGAGAAGTACCGAGCCGAACGAGACGACTGTAAATGATGCTGCAGGCTTAATTTAATTTGGAAGCCTTCATTCACTTCCTCTACTGCCATTGCTAAACTAACTAGCAGACACTGCGCAGAAAATTGATGTTGTTCAAAACTCCTCCTTCTGTTTTCTGATTGGCCCAAACAAAATTCTCCTGAAGAAATCCTTGTCTATGGGAGAAATCCCAGACGGAGCAGTGAAGGGAAACTAGAATTGAGCGGAACTGCGCAGGGCCGGTCTAGTGGTAGCCATGTGGAGCTGCCTAAACGCCTGTTCATACAAAGTGCCACCTGTTTACACAAAGCTCCTCCCTGGAGCTCAGTCTGCAGCTGAGCTCCAGCTCCACAGAGCACCCCTACCCCACACAGCTCCACCTTTAGCGGCAGCAACAATTAGCAAACACTTGCTGGAACTGTCCATCTGTTGAGTTTGCAATACTTTTCAATCCAGTCCCTTTTGGAATAAAAAATAAATAAATATCTTCATCAAGTGAATGTATTTTTGAATGCCAAGGAGACTACCCTCTTACAATGCTCCTACCAAAGACTGTAACCGGCATGAAGCATTGTGAAGACATGATCAAGTGGGAGTGTCAGAAATGGTAGAAAGAGACAACAGAGACAGCATTTTTATAACAACTGAAGGTAACACTGTTACTTGATTGTGGTACAGAATTGAACTAYAGCCTGGAAATACATAATACCCCCTTCTCCTTTAACACTGATTTAATTTATTTGTCTGCAAACAGCTTGAAGATTTTACAAGCTACATCCTGCTCCTCTTGTTTCATTCAAATCATGTTTTATTTTGAAAAGCTTTCTTATAAATACAGAAATATTCCACTTCTTGGGTGCTATTATAGTATCAGGTTACATTACATGCCCATAACATATGAGCTTCAACTATAAAAAGGTTTTCAATTACATTAGATTGATCACCTGAAATTACTTATGAACTTACATCAATATGCAAAATAATCAAATTACAAAGTAGCCAAAAGTTAAAAGCAATGCTCCATGAAGTTCTTGCTACAGAAACTTAATGTATGAATTTTAAGATATAATTTGTCTTATTTTGGCACTGTCTGCGCTTTGCTTTTTAAAGTTAGCACAAGGAACTACACAGAATTGTTAGAAATGTCAGATATGTATGTGAAGTCCTCCAGACACCTGGCAATAAACAGACTGAAATGTAGACAAAAACTGTCCAAATGCCGTTACCACAAAAGTCAGAGGCRTCTCAGCATGTGTAACCTTTGCTCAAAACTGTTACCACAGTTCATGGGTACTGTGGGGACCTCTGCAGCACAGAGAGCTGAGTCTGCTTAAAGCACAGCTCGAAGCAAGAACACRTTCTCCTTCACATCAAGCACAGAACGAGGAATGTAAATTTTATTCTTTACACAACCTCAGAAGAAGGAGAGAATGTCATCTTTATAGGCTGTAGGTTGATAAGGCATATCTGCTGTGTGCAGAGTCAGAGCAGCTGCTTCACAGGTTGCAGGTTTGAGAGAAAATATAACTGCCTTGTTGTAGGGCTGACATGCCACAACCAGCAAATGCATGAAAAAAAAAAAAAAAAAAAAAAAACAAGCAGCACGATACAACCACAGAGTGAAAGAATGCTGGGACCGAATAACTCACTGTGTAAAGTTCATTGGTGACTTTCACCAACTCTTCATGCATCTGCACCCCGATGTCTTTACTCTGTGGAGAAGAAATAAAAATAAAAAAACACAAGATAATAAAAATCATCTTTACTGGACAAATAAAAAAGACAAATAATCTAACATCTCAAGTCAAAAACTGATTTATTTGGTTGCGCGAGAAAATTCTGGGGGGTGGGGGTGGGGTGGGGGGCTTTGAAAGCTGTGTGCCAGTTTCAATTTAAATACGAAGGATGTCGGCAAGTGTTGAAATGCTGTCATTACTCTGCAGCTGAGAAGATCTAATACAATGCCCAAAGAGAGCAGGCAGACGAAAATAGAACAGTGCAGTCATTACAGAACAGCTCCCATAGCGGAAAGTCACAGCTTCAGCTCAGTTACAGGGAGTTAGAGCGCATGATGAATCGGACATGTCCCACAATAGGGCTCATAGCCAAAGACGGGAGGGAGGGAGGGGGGGCTGCCAGCACCAGTGGAGTGTGACTCTGGAAATCCTGTTAAGTGGATACTGTGCAGCRCTTCACCCAATATATCCTGTTTTGTTGTCTCCTCTCTGAGACCACTTGTCAGAACAGCAACCTTGCATTTTCACATGTGGCAGGAATAAAAGCTCAGCACATTCGCTTCGCTTAAAATCTGTCTTAACGAGCGCCAGAGGTGAATCATCCTCGTCGCCACATGTGTAGTTCATTAACAGCAAGACTGCACTGCAGCTGAACCAGGATGCTGAAGCACAACAGGGTTATTGTCTTTTAAGAGCTCTCATCCCTTCAGCAAACTGAACTGGACGCGCAGTTGTCAGTAATTTCCCTCGCAGTAATTCTACCCTACTCCAAAAGTGGGAAAATTTTTAAAACTGTAGCTTAGATTTTTCAAAATAAAGTTCTGTGAAATGCTATAAATGGATAAATATCTCACTAGTTAAGATAATAATTGTTCATAACCTCTAYATACATTAAAAAGGTCCATGCACATAAGGTTTATTATTCTTATTACGTATCACTGTTAATGTGGTGCTTCAGTGATGTGACTGAAGCAGTCGGYTCGTTTGGATGCCATCGTCAGTAACGGCCACAATTGCGTGCTCTCATCCATTTTATTCCCATTCTGACCTTTTTGAAAAGTCTGATGACATCCTCGCCTACGTGCGCCAGCCGGACAATGACGTTGTTGTTGTAGATGTCACTGAGAGTGGCRTGGTCCCTGCTCTCCCGTCGGGTCTGGTCCAAGACCAAATACCAGCAGTTCACAGTGGAAACAAGATTTTGGTCTTTTCTGAAAATGCRAGGGGAAGAGATTTTTTTTACCATCTGAACATGTCAAATCCTGAAGAATTAATGTGGCTTCAAGCAATACTTAAAACTACTTCTAGGTATAAAAAAGGGAGCAGAAGTCCTACTGAATGATTAATGGTTGATTGAACTCRGATCAAAGTACTTCAATGTCTGAGGACTTGCAGATATGCTTCTTTCTGAACACATCTTCCATTCCATCATTTGATCCCCGCTGTGGGTCTTTATTAGAGATCAGGAGGTCAGTGGGCATGGAGGGGAAAACAGTGAAGCTCCACATACACACTCACTAACATGGCTCACACACACACACACACACACACACACACACACACACGCACACACACACACACACACGACATGCTGGCTGCCTCTTTGCTCATGGGAGCATGTGAGTTCCATTATCCTCACACCAAAGCATTTGTTTCTCTTCCTCTTGTCTTTTACTCTATCTTGAGCGGATTAAACATTTTTCTAACATGACTTACAAAAGCACATATCACATAAGATTTTRGCCTGAATAAGAAGTGAGTAAAACTATGTTTTGCTGTTGCTGACAGCTTGTTGTCTCCTGTAATGATTGGTGGAAAAAAAAAAAACAGGATTGAAGTTGGAATGAATAACTCAAAGCAAGTCTCATGTCTTTGTTGAAAATAAAAGATATGTGCGGCTCAGAAAAAATGTCTGTTTTGATTAAATGATTTTTTGGGCGGTTTGTTTAATGCAAGATCCAAGCAGCTGTCCACTGAGCAGTTTATACAGTTTGTGTGTCATGCTGTTTTGTTATCTGTTAAATAAATCAATATCTTAAGTTTCATTGTGGAAAAAGAATCCAAGAACACGGTTTGAAAAATGGATTAATAAAAAGGCCATAAAGGTGAAAACTTGTTTTTCTCCAGTCCTGTTAGGTCCTAACTGGATATTTTTCATCACTGTAAGTTATCATCTATAGGTCGTATTGCTGTTGTGGTTCACTTGTCTTTTCTTTTGACTGCACTGGTTTATATTTTTACTAAACCTTTAAACACAAACTTTTAAGATATGCCTAGTTAGTATGCTCAACTGCACAGTAATAAAGTGTTTTAAGGGTCAATGAATTTAAAACATAAAGTGTTCAAATGTGCATTTTCATGGTAGAGAAAAGTTGTATAATGGTTTCATAAAACAACACGCTCAGTGGAGGAAGTGTTTAGTAACTCAGTCCATTTCTGAAAACTAACTAGAGTAAATTAAAAAAAGACAAAACAAAGATGTTCTGAAATCTTGTACTTTGACCAAGTCCTGCATGTCTAACTTTTTTTATGCTTGTGGAAAGAAGTTCAAATGGGTCTCCTTTGAGACTTGACTTCATGACTGGATTAATTAATGTCTATACAGTTAATATTAAGAAAATTATTCCAAAGCACGGGGGAGGGGGGGGGACTCTTTGTCCTCCAAAGTATGAAAAACTGATCCACTGGAAGTACTTTAAAGGGCCTTTGCATATCACTCAAATGCAAACAGTTAAAGCAGACATTTTTATATTTAAGAAGCTTGAAATAATACACATTATCTTACCTACGTAGTTTGTCAAGTAACTGGCATACTTACTTTTGAATTTGGCTCAGCCAAAGTGAAACAGGAAGTGATATCCAATGGCAATGCTTTAAGAAACAGAATTCCTTGGTCTTTCCTTATTGAAAGAATATTTAAATCCTGACTCTTTGTCKCTCTCTGATAGTGACTTACAACAATCTAAAGAAACATCAGATTCTTCTCTACAGTCTGTGTTGTTAGTCACTGTAACAACGCTCTGTTTACATTCAGACACTCCCCTTTAACATCATCTCTGGTTAGAGTTGATATCTGATGGATTTTTAGWWTTTTCCTTTTATTGGARTTTAACTTTACTATACGTGTTCCAAACTGAGTCCATACCCACTGTGAAAGATCATTTCTTCTCTGCACATTGCCTGAATCTGTTCATGAATATAGACTGTTTATTTCTGCTTCACTGTGTAATTCAAGGATGTTGAAAGTAAATTATTCTAGCTTTTTCACATGCTGCCACGTACTAAATTGAGACTTGTACTTTTGTGTTGCTAAAGATAACCCAGAGAGCAGGGTGTTATCATTCCTTTTAGCTTTTTTTCCCCCTCCATCCTCCATTTCACTGAAAGCGATTCCTTCAGGTCTGCCTTTCAAGCAGAGCAGGTGTTTGATCCCGGATGTGCCATCAGCCGTCTAACCTGTAAATGTTCCACTGCTCAAGAATAAGAATGAGACTTTAGTATTCAGGGCACCGACGACATGATGTGGAGCTGTTCCATGAAAAAATGACAGAAGGAGGTTTTACACTTGACAGCCTACAAACATATAATACTTGTTCCCCAGCAGAGTTGCAACACTCAGTTAAACTACTGTTTACCATCAATCCAACACACAAACTGGAGCCATTAAGTCATGTTAAACACACACCATATAGTTTTTTTTAATGTGAATAAATGAATCAATGAGTTTTCAAGTGGTGGGTTGCTTTGAAGTTATTTCCTGCCAATTTCCTGTCAGTTCTTATATTACGTGCATCAAAAAAAAAGGAATAAAAAAGAAAAGAAAATCTGATAGGGACCATTTAAGGGCTCAGAGATTTTGCTGATAAAACATGAACGAGACTGCAGACCCTGTAATGACACTGCAGAAGTGAAGACCACACAGAAATATTAACAATAAGTCTCTCCAATCTCCTCCACGAGTCTGAATGCGGCATTTGACAGACACTTAGAATGACGAGCATTTAATGTGACGGAGAAATCTGGGACATGGGGGCGGTGTGTGGGGAGAAGTAATCCAACGCAAGTTCTTGCAGGAGACTCCCTCTGAGGGAACGCTCCATTAATCAATGTCCCAGTGACGGGAGCTCTCAGCCATGATTACGCTTAATGTCCAATTGGCCAGAGAGACTGAGAGAGAGATGGAAAGTCCAAATGAATGKGTGTAAAACTGCCTACGAATCAATTACACCAACTGAACTGTAGAAGTCAACATGAATAGTTTAGCTCTGACTCTACTATTCCAACACTCCAATGCAAAAAATATCTTAAAATTTAGATTGATTGCTTTTGAAACTGTTGCAAGTGCTAATTTTTAACAAGTTACATCAGTTACAAACAATTTATATTTGTGCTTCACTATCAACCTTTTAGCTCTTCTACAGCCACAAAGAGCTGTACAAATGAAAAGGGAGTTAGTTTGGGTATAATAAAGTCAGGTTTTGTTAAAAAAAAGTTATGATCAAATAATGTCTTACAAATTACCTTTGACCAAATTAATGTACTAACTGCTAGTTTCAGCAAAACCAAAGTGGATTATTGTCACCTAAACCGCTTCATTGAGGTTTTAGATGTTTTAAAACATCAGTAATCCCCTTTGCTTGTGACTCCACTTAGATTAGCCGTTAGCTTGATGGTTTATTGTACAAACTGAGGTTATTAAAAAGCTATCTATATCAGGTAAGATGTTAACTGTTTATAACCTTTCCACATACCCCCTTCGGCAGATCTATTTCTGAACTATCCAATCCAATCCAACTTTATTTGTAAAGCACTTTTTGCACCACAGCAGACCAAAGTGCTGTACAGAATCAACATTCCAACACAGCTCATGCAGAAAACATATTCAATCAAAAAATACAGTAAAAACACAGAAAAAATAAAAGCAGAGAATAAAAAAACAACAAGTAAAAAGGAAACAGAAAACAAAGTAAAAACAGGGCATATAAAACAATGAAATGCCTAAAAATTTTAAAATCTGCAATAAAAACAAAACAAAAATTTTCTACTAAAATAAAATCTAAAATTAATGGACAACACAACCCCCTACTAGTTAGCAAACTTGTGTAAAAAATATTTCAAACCTCTGAATCTGACTGTGTTGCATTAAATTACAACTGGGTTTAGTTAAACTATAGTTTTTCAATTTGTTCATCTGTAAATTATCATGTCCTTACTAGAATCAAGAACTTGTATTGTTCAAATGAAATGAATTGGGTTAACAATTGTTTTTTTTAATTATAATTTTTATTCATGGTCAAGCGCTTCCTATTACCCACATTTTTCCTGACTATAATAACATGATCAGACAGCTGCAGGCGTGTCTGTGCATCATCTCCAACACGCTGCAGGGTGTGTTTGTTTCATGACAAATGATCATCATCCTGTATATAAAAAGTAAATACATAAATAAATAAATTAACACTGAAAGACAACTGGAGCAAAATAAGCCCAATTTTGTACCGCAGATCAAACTTACTGACTTAGTGCACCATGAAATTGTGAGTATTTCAGTAGCAGTTTAGTGTGAAGATGTTTGAAAATGGAAATGAAATGACAGCCATAGAGGAAAAAAAGTGTGTGTGTGTGTGTGTG